GACCTACTGCACCAGCCGGACCCTCCATTTATACATTGTTCCTGGAGTGGGGGAATGAGGGCCCTGACCCGCCAGTCCTTCCTGCTGGCATGTCCCTGTCCCCGCCCCTTTGCTCACTGCTGGTGTTCCCTTGATGCTCCCTTGCTGGGCTGACGAGAGGTGTGTGGGCTCCCCAAGGAGTTGAACAACCTCCTGTTCCTTTCTGGGCCCGGCCGGTGGCTGCTCTAAATCGCTTGAAGCAATAGGCTGCTTGGTGTGGTGTAATCGCCTGCCAGAGTTGGGGCACCACAAGCCCCTTGGGCCCCTGGGAACGACAGGACTCCAGGGGCACTGCACAGCCCTGTGCTGGCTTGGGGCTGTGGCTGCACCATCAGCCTCCGGGCTGGTGCCTTCAGTTCCTGGCTGTTCAGGGAAGGGTTGAGCACAGGAAAAGTCCTTCCAGAGGCCAGTCCTGGGAGGAGCTCTCGCGCAGTTAATCTTGAACAATGGCCCAGGCTCTCTTACGCAGCTGCTGTGCAAATCTGCCTGTCTGCCTGCGGGTTAGCGCTGGATCTGAGCAGCTCCTGCGCGGGTCACTCTGACCTGCTGGCAGAAGGAGCGGTGGTGGTCAGCAGCAATGCGCTCTCCAGAGGTGCTGGCCTGACTCATGCCCCCGGGCCAAGTATCTGTCTGCAATCACATCTGGGCAGGGAGTGAGGCACAGTGACCCCCCCGGCTGCTTATGCTTCATTTCCCCAGAGCGCCCCGTTCAAGGGGGACTGGCTTAGCCAGGGCCAGCTGCATGGTAGTTTAGCACTTTGCACCCATCAACCAGTAGCTTCGTGTTCTCCCTGGTTTGCTGGACACCCCAGGTCCCCTTAGAGCCTTTTTCCTCTCCGGACTGACAGCAGGTCTCTTCCTCGCAAACAGCATCAGCTGTGATTGTGGGATCTACCACCTTTCTACACCTGCTGATGGAGCCGGGGGAAGATGACTTCTACCAGCAGCACTTCCAGCGCTCCCTGGCCCGGAATAACAGTGCGACCGCGCCACAGGGGCCTGCCCTCTGTCCCTTGTCAATGGCTCCCGTCCTGCTGCCTCGACTGCCAAGTTTAAGCAAATATTTGAGACATGAACAAATATTGACCCTTCCACACACCAGAAACAGCCCTTTTGCTGAGCCAGTATGTGGCTCCGGAGACAACGAGTCGGTTGCGGCATGTTTCACTGCAAGGTCATCAGGCCAGGGCACCAGGGATTGAAAGTCAGGATCAGCTGATGGGAGCTTTGGGCACCGAGCTGGTGGCTCTCAGCCAAGGTCCTAGTGGGGCAGGTCTCGCTGCCACAGAAACCTCCCCCTGGCTGGCAGAGAGGATACGGTCTGAATGGGCCACCCACTCTCCCCACCCACCTCCAGTAGTAGAGTGGGTCATTCCAGCCCCCAGCTTGTGTGTGTAGCCTGGAGGTTCCAGGCCTGCCAATCACCTCCCACTCCGACATCCTTTTGCTGGACCTCCCACCCTGCCCCGCTCCCATTGTCTCGTGATCAGTGACCCTAGTTCTTTTTGGGCCTCTCCCCTATTCAGGAGCTCCCTGCCCCACTGCGCCCAAATACGCCCGCACCCTTTGCCAGCCCTGGACGGAGTGAGAAATTAATAGAGAAAACTTGGTAGCTGCAAATATTTAACCCTCTAGCCCAGCAACCCCAGTGAGGCAGGGAGCCCAGCATTTCTTACAGCATGTGCTAGTAGCCGGCTCTGAAATCAGTGTCTCGGGGGAACACAGACCCCCACCCGCTCTGGGAATTATCCCTCTTATACAGAGGAGGAAACTGAGGCACAGAGAGACGAACCAGTGACAAAGGCAACAGCAGAGTTAGGAACAGGAACCATGTCCCAGCTATAAATCTGATTGTGAGAGCGGGACCAGACCCTCATCAGGGTCAAGCCCACGCCCCACCCATCTATCGAATCAGACTGCTTTACTCAGTGAGTGTTGGGAAAATCCAGGGGGTGTCCTTATGGAGTCCTGGGGGTTGGAGACCAGTTCATGCACAATCTAGGTAGGCCCAGAAAGAGCAGTTCTCCTCTCCCTTTGTCTCCCCAGGCCCTCATCAGACGCTCTCAGCTGCGGTCAGAGGGCACAATAAAAAGCCTCTGCACAGAAGGGTGCTACCCACATTCCCTGCGGGAGAGGAAGTTTGGAGGGTCCTGCTGGAGTGGGAGAGCAGAGGTGAGGCAGCGTTGCAGCAAGTGGCATACCAGACCAAATGGCCTGATGGTTTGATCCCGGACAGCAGAGGAGGGCACTGGGCTAGGCGGAGGCCAGCAGTCAGATCTGTAACTGCAGGAGATTAACGATTTATTATACCCCATTTCCCCTCCCCACCCACCCCGTCCTGTCATGTGTTCGCCACACGTAGCGTATCAGACCATATGGGCAGTGCCCTTGGTGTCATCTCAGTGCATTGCCCAGCGTAGCACTGAGCAGCAGCGTGCTCACACCACTGAGGACAACGCTCTCAATAAACCCCAATCCCAGCTGCGTCGGTCCAGGGGCGGAGACTCCACGAATGACTCTGAGCTCAGGTGAGCTGCTGAAAATCAAGCTGTGATTTTTCCAGCCTCAGATGGGGACTTGCACTCGGGACCCTAGACCTGGGGCTTCCTGCTCTGTTCTCCAGGCGAGCATGTAACTCAGGAGTCACGTGTGCATGGAAAGGAGACCACGAAGACTCCAGCCTGTTCTCCCAAAGCTGGATTGGCTCTGCAGGGTTGCAGCTTTCCGTTCATAAACTAGGCACACGTGGCATTAAAGATGCAGAGAGGAACAGGCGCCACGTACATTTTTAGAGTGGCTGGTATGACCCTGACGTCCTGAGCAGGAAAGGCACCGTTGTTGCCTTTCGCAGCTGGGGCAGCAGGATTCTGACACATAAGGACCATATTGATACCTTACCAGATGCCAGAAAAAATTGTGCTTAATGAATTAAATGTCTTCAAACTTAGTTCTTTCTCACCTTTGCAGCTTGGTTGATTTTCCATTGCAGTTATTCCACGCTACCCAACTCCAGCGGTTACGGGCTGAAGGGCGATTCTTGCCTGCACTTTAGGACTATGCGACATAGCGGGCCTGCTCCAATATAAGTCCCTGTTGCTGGGATACGGAGCTAGTGCAGGTCTGACTTTAGTGCCCCAAATATGGGCCTATATTTTTAGAGACGAAGGCTGTGAGTTCTATTTCCCACGCTGCTAGTGATTAACAGGCCACCTTGGAGAGCATTACCTGA